GAGGAGGCTATTATAAAACTGAGAAGGTAATGAAGACCTGTGTAGAGTGATAATAAAAGCTTTGCAGCCAGTCAGCTTGGGTTCAAACCTAACTGTCACTTGCTAACCCTGAGATGTTAGGCAAGATACATATATTCTCTGAGAATCAGTTTCTTCATCTATAAAATGGGTGTAATAATAATACATACTTTATAGGATTTTTTGAGAGAATTGATTAAGATACTACATGAACACAATTTCTTAACACAATTTCTGATGCATAGTAAGCATTTCATAACTATTACCTAATAGGAGGAATAGAAACCTAATTTAAAGTAGAGACAGTGGGAATAGAGAAGGGTCAAATTTGAGAGACTTAGTGACCAACCGAATGTGTCAGGGACAGAGAGGAAATCACCAAAGCTGTGATTTCTGTGTGAGGCAATAGGATAGGGGTGTACTGACAAAAGAGCCAGGGAGAAAGAAAGGACTGGTTTATAAACAAGAGCTGAGGTGGGAAAAGAGGAGATGACGAATGAGGCTTAGACAGGTTTAATTTGAAGTACCTGGTAAACATGCAGATGAAGCTTAAGGGAGTTGAGGGTCTGAGACATTACTGGTAGTTGGAACCATGGGAGTGAAAAGATTTCTTAGATGGAATGCACAGATGAACACTACAAAGAGGCTGAAAAATTTTAATTTATTTACTTGGCATTCAAAGTTATTCTTATTAGACTGTATAGACTCCAGCATAAGAAGTACTAGGTTTTTGAAATCTGACAAGTGAAATAGGGAAAAAAAAAAGCCTGTAAGAGGTTAGGACCCAGGCTCAGGACACTAACCTAGCCCCAGGGCAGATCTCTTGGGAATGAGAGACAAAGGAGGGTGTTCCCAGGCCAGATCTCACTGTCCACGGTCCCGCCAATCTTAATTAATCCTTGCCCCAATTAGCTGTCTCAGAGGGGCCTGTTATGGGGGGAGGAGTGGGGGTCCCATGAGAGGTATTTTTCCAAGTTAGGTAGGTAGCAGCATCAGTTTCAAATTTGGATCAGTCACATGTGAGGGGTCCAGGAGACAATACAAATTCTCAGGAGAAGGGGCTGGTATTGGTGCCCAGACAAGCAGGCTGGAGCTCAGAGCAAGGCTGCAGTCCTAGTGGGGCAAATGGATTTCACATCAGGTGGAAACACTAAGTATAAGATAAACATAAGTTAAGGGAAAGAGATGCTGCTCTGTGGGCGTAGGGAACCCAAGCCCTCACCTGGAATCCAGGGTTAGGGCCAGAGAGCATTCTAGACCCCACCCTCCAGTAGGATTGGGGTTCCTAATAAGCTTGGCCAGTGTAGGCTCAGAGTTGGGTGGCATTCATCCTACGGTTTGAAGCTTATAGAGCGAAAGCAGGGATTGGCATTTTCAGCTTTCTGACTCTTCACTCTTGTCATCCTCCAAGATCCAACTAACTGACGTTTCCTTGGAATTCCTAGTCCCGTCCTCTCCAGCTGTCCAGATCTCTCCTTAGCTTAGAGTCCCAGGGTTCCCATTATACCTGCACAGGTACGAATACGTATGCGTGTGCGCACACACACGGGGTTACCCTCTGTTTCTGACTTCCAGGAGGTACATATGTGGTTGTGCAGTGCTGAGGACACCGAGGCGCTGTCACTGTGGAACTCCTAATTACTTCTAGCATTCCTGTGCAGTTTCTGTCCATTCCGTCCTAGACACTCAGTGTCTCACACCTCGATATCTGTGCTCACCTAGCTTTAGGTTCATAGTTTCACAGAAGTCAATGGACTGTTCTTGACAGCAGCAGCAGCAACTGCATTTATTGAGTGCTTACTATATACCACTTTATCCTAAGTGCTTAGGATAAAATCTCATTTAACCCTCAAACAACTCCATAAGGTAGTTACTATTACTATTCTGGTTTTATCAGTGAGGAAACGAAAACTCATAAGAGTTGAGTAATTTGCCTTGGGTCATGCAGCTAGGAAGTGGTAGAGCTTGGATTCTAGTTTAGGACTTACTCCAAAATCCATGCCTTTAACTATCATGCTATAAAAAAGGCAGATGTCTCTGAGAATGTATTCTTTATTCTTTGGTGCATGAGTTTCTGTGTACGTCATAGAAGAAGCTGAGAACTGACTAACTTCTATTAATAATTAAGGGAGTCCAATGGCTTGGTCAAGTGGCTAATCTCGTAAACAGAGAACGGAGCTGGGAAGGAGGTTATTCTTAGTAATCATCTAATGAACAAAACCCCAGACTTAACTCTCTCAAAAAACAAGACAAAACCTTCTATAACATTTTTGTGTAGCACCTGCTTCCTTTGCTGGTTTTATTTATCCTGGAAAGGCTAGGAAATGTGATTTCTCAAGTGGAGCCTGAATATGTAGCAGAGAAGAGAGGTGGTGTGGTCAAGAACACGGCCTTGTACTGAGAACAGTGCCTGTGGTTGGTTATCCAGCCTCAATCACTGCTAACTGAAGTCACTTCACCTCTCTGTCCCATTTTTGTTACCTGGAAAATTGGGATGTGAATGAGGATTCGAAGAAGAATTACGAGGTTAAAAAATAATGCAATAGAATTTAAGGAGAAACTGTAAAGAAATTTCTTCTCCTAATCCAGCTATGGGAGTCAGGGAGCACGGAATGCGCCACATCAACATATGGGGGTAGTAAAGGGATGCAGTGGAGCGTGGGAACTGAGGCGCTTCAGTGAGCTTCCAGATGGGAATTATTTGCCCCTCAGTCGGGCTATCTACATAATCTAGCTGTAATCAAACCTATTGGTGGTGGATGGTCATCAAGATTAAGGAGCCTCAAAATGGGAAGTGAGGGAAAAGGCGGGAAAGGTGAGAGCGGGTTAGTATTTGAGATCTACCCTCTACGGGTCACAGTCACAGTGCTCTGCTCTGGAGTCCACGCTCTGCAGATGATGAAGGAGATAACGTTTCTTAACAACCCTGTGAGCAAGGATGATAAGGCTCACTTTACAGGTGAGGATTGCTTAAGAGGCTTCATTAAGGCCTCACCATTAGTATATGGCCAAATAAGAATCAAAGCCCCATCTATTTGATGCCAATGCTTTTTTATTATGCCATGCTATCTATGACACATTTAACTACTTTTCTCTGCAAAGTCCTAGAAATTCCATATTACTAGTCATTCATTTGCTCATCCATTCTTTCATTTATTCCATAGGTAGCTGTTGAGTGCTTGGTAGGTTCAAAACACTTTAAGATTTCTAAATCTCAAATAATCTGTTGCATTCATGTCCCAATTCCACAGAATGCAGAAACCTTTTTCTCCACACAGGAATTAGAACCTACTTTTTCATAGTGCTTTCACTGAAGAGAGGCACTGGTCTGGAAATCAGAAGACATGAGTACAAATATGGTATCTTGCCCTTGTCAAGGGTGCTTCTACCAAGAAACATTCATGAATAAGTGTATGTTCGAGTCATAGAGTGAGTGTGCTTTGCAGGATATCATTGTGAACATCAGCAGTAATAAAGAACAGGAGGCATCCCATGGAAACTAGTCTTTGCCTGCATGTCTCAAGTCCACCCTGTAATTCTGGGTGAAACTCTCTGCCTCAAGCTACCTAAAGCTGACTTGGCAGGCTCTCGGATTCAATTCAGAACCTCTTTATTGTGTCTTTCTATTCATATTCCTTTTTCTGCCTCTCATCATAATTCTATTTCCACTTCTAACCTCAGATCAAGCTAGAAACTCTTGACTCACCCCTTCAACTGAGGCAGTTATGTTCTCTTTGCTTGGAATTTCGAGATCTTACCATTGAGTTCATAGAGGCCATTTGCCTCTCAAACACTCCCCTGGTCTTTCATTCACTGAAATTTCCCTCTCTTTCTCAGACACCACACCTCAGGTTGGACTTTTTCACCACTTAAAACTTCTCATCTGCTTTCTAGCCCTTTTTTATTTTTTTATTACCCTTCAAAGCATTTGAACTTAGTCTACTTCTTTTGATCTGAAATTTTCCATTTCTCTCAAAGGCGTCTTTCCCCCTTCATCTCTGTCCCCTTTGCTTGGTCACTAGCTGGAAGGGAAGTCACTTCCTGCTGCAGTCATACTTCCTGGCTTCATTGTCCTTATTTATCAAATATTTATTGAGTAACTATGGGCTTCACAAGCCAGGACAGCAAGATAAGACACATTCCATACATGAGAAGTCTGGTGGAGGTGACAGGCATGAAAAAAAATATTTGCAAAATTATTATAATAAACGTCTAGAGGAGAATGCTGGGGATACTGATGGCACAAAGGAGGAAGTGACGGATGGATTGATTGGTCAGAGAAGGCTTTACAAGAAACCTTTGAACTGGGTTTTGAAAGATGGAAAAGAGTTTCCAGGGGAAAGAAATGAGGAAAAAGCATTCCAAAAACAAAGGACATCATGCGCCAAGATGTAGAGGTGTGAACTAGCGTGTCCCAATTGGGGAAACTGTTAGTTGCTTGGTATTCTTGGAGGTTGGTGCTCAAATAGAGGTTCTGCAAGAAGTGAGGCTGAGGAGGTAAGAGGAAATGGATGATGGAGCGCCTTAAATACCTTGCCAAGAACTTTGGGTTTTATCCTGAAGGCCGTGGAGGATGAGTGAAGGGTTTTAAGAAAGAGAGCCATAACAGTCAGATTTGGAAAGATCACCTGAGCAAGGAGAATGTAGTACATGTGGGCAACTGCAGGCAGGGAGACCAGACAAGAGATGACTGTAATATTATGTGCAAGAAATGAAGAGGGCAGAAACAAAAGCCATGGTAGTGGGGTTAGAGGGGAGGGAAGAAATATTAAAGATGTTAAGAGATCAGGTTGACATGACTTAGTGACTAGTTGGATATTGGGAGTGAGGGCAGGTTTCTGTACAAGGTAACCAGATGCCATTAATTGTGGTAGAGAAGAGGAGGAACAGGTTAGGGAGATGAGGCAGAAAGGCATGACTGCATGGTGTGAAGTGAGGTCCGGGATCAGGTACCATTTGGACATGTTCATTCTGTTTTGCAGCTGTGGCTGAAGGCCTTCAGGTCACAGTGCCCGACAAGAAGAAGGTGGCCATGCTCTTCCAGCCCGCTGTGCTTCGCTGCCACTTCTCCACGTCCTCCCATCAGCCTGCAGTCGTGCAGTGGAAGTTCAAGTCCTACTGCCAGGATCGCATGGGAGAATCCTTGGGCATGTCCTCTCCCCGGGCACAGTCTCTCAGCAAAAGAAACCTGGAATGGGATCCCTACTTGGATTGTTTAGACAGCAGGAGGACTGTTCGAGTGGTAGCTTCAAAACAGGGCTCAACCGTCACCCTGGGAGATTTCTACAGGGGCAGGGAGATCACGATTGTTCATGGTAATAATGCCTCTGTTTTGAATCTAGGGAATGGGAGGGAGGTTAGTTCTCTTCCTCCCAGACACAAGGGGATGCCAGCCTCTCACTCTTTCAACTGCACAGGACTTTGATTTTATGGGAGATGGGAACATCAAGAAACCTAGCAAATTGCTTTAATGGAATGGTGAGGGAAGGAAGGGTGAAGGGAGTAATATCTAGAGAAGACACAGAGATGAGCTTTGGAAATAGTCTTTTCTGAGTCTGACCTCAAGTCTTGGGAGCTTATTATCAGAACTGAATTGAAATGGGTTCTAGTGAAAGAACTTTTTCAGTCAAACACCCTATACCTTGACATGAGCCTTTATGGCCCTTTCTCCAACTCAGAGAGCAGACTTCCCTCAGAAGTTCCTCTGCTGGGACAAGGGTTATGTGCACACAAGTTACAGAGCCAGTGAATGCCACATGGTTTTGCATCATTTCCACCCTTTCTCTGGCTCCCTAAAGCTGTGGACAAGAAAAGGTCCTAAGAGTCTGATATGACCTATTTGATTATTTGAATTTTGAAGAACTCCTGTGAAGTCAGCCCATTTCCAGGAGTCCAGAGTAATTCTGGAATGTACCTGGCTCTCAGGGGCCTCTGCAGGCCTGGCTGAAGGCAGCTTTCTGTTCCTGAAAGTGGACTGGTGCTAGACCAGTTTCTGGCGGTGCTCTAATTCTCTCGCCTTAGGGATGCTAGTTTTTGTTATTGTTTTGTTGGAGTTTTTTTGTTGTTGCTTATTTGTTTGTTATAAATAAAACAAACATGTTGTCAGCCACCATCCAAGTAAAGAAACAGAACACACTGCAGACACACCAGAAGGGCCCCACCACATTGTTCAGTGTTTTCCTTTCGAGACAGAGCTTTAGGACTGGCTCCTTCTTTTCTTGGTAACAGACGCAGATCTTCAAATTGGGAAACTCGTGTGGGGAGACAGCGGACTCTACTACTGTGTTGTCACTACCCCTGATGACCTGGAGGGCAAAAACGAGGGCTCGGTGGAACTGCTGGTGCTGGGTAAGTGAAAAACCCTGTTTCACCTGAGACCACCGGCAGTGTCGTCTCTTCTCCCTGCTGCATGTGTCGGCAGTTGCACACAGTCGTTATCTTTTGCGCACACACGGGTTTTAGAATATGCTCTTTATAAGCAGTAGTTGTATTTATTATATCTTGTTTCTGGGAGGCTATGGCCCCCTTTTTAGCATTGTCCTGAATGTTTCTTCTTCTTTCTAAGGGTTTTTTCTTAACTGCCTTCCATTTGCATCTTTAATCCTGATGTCTCTCTGCTCTTATTCTTTACTTATCTTGTTATAGTCATGTGTCACTTAACGATGGGTGTATGTTCGAGAAATGCATCGTTAGGCGATTTTGTTGTTCTGTGAACATCATAAAGTGTACTTACACAAACCTAGATAGAATAGCCTACTACACACCTAGGCTGTTTGGTACTAATCTTATGGGACCACTGTTGTATATGTCAAACGTAGTTATGCAGTGCATGACTGTATATGCTAATTGTTGAAGAAAATGCCAGAGGCCTTTGAAGCAGGGTAAAGACTGCTAAGAGATAAGAATTCACTGGTGTGCCAGGATCTCCTACGACATCAGGAATCTTTCCCCAGTCAAGTACCTCCACTTAGGACAATCATAGGGAAAGATGGCTGTGAACTGGAGAGTTTAATAATAAAAGGTGCCCAATGAAAAGAGCTGTTGGGGAGGTGTGCTTGTGTTTAATTGGAAGGCAAATTTCTTGAAGCCCAGAAGCGTCTGAGTTATTCTCAAAGCAAATGTATCTAATCCTTATTAATACTAATTTCTTCATAAATGAAAACTCATTATTTTTGTCTACTTTTGCTCTTTTGTGGCTTGGAGGAATGTCAGTGGGAGATGACCTCCTTGTATGAAACTGAAAATTGAACACTCATTTCATGCTCTATAAATGTTGGTTGAACAAAAAAATTAGAATAAAACATACATAAATTAAGAAAAGAAACTTTATTAATTGTAGGAGGAAAGGTAAATACTTGAAGCCATTTTTCAAAAGAAATGACATTTTTTGTAGCTTTTAATAAACCAGATGATAACAATTTGGGGGAATATTTAAAGGTGTTTTCTTTTAAAGGCAAATGAGGTTGAAGGTTAATTTTTACCCTATGTGGGAAACTCAGTGCCCAGAGAGAAAGTGGAATTTGCTATTTGGGATTTTTAGTTTTACTTTATCATGACTGTGTGACTTTGACAAATCAACTGTTCTGCTGCCCTAATTTTACAGTTTACAAAATGGATTAATGTAATAATTATTTATTAATAATTAACCCTTTAATCAGTAATGATTAACTCTTATTCGAGGGTTAACTTAATTCAAATACATATTCCTTGGGTCCAGTACATAAAGCATAACTGCTGTGACTTGTAAAAGGATGGGAAATATGACAGATATTAAAAAGGAAAGAAAAAAGTAAAAGGCTTATATTGACAATGTAAAAGAAGACAGGGAAATCCGATTTGGGATCTGCTGTGACTCTGTAAATCAGAGGGAATGAAAGGATAAATGTCTGCCTAATCACATAACACTAACGGCCAAGTTTGAAGGAACAAGTGGCTCATTGAGCCTGCAATTAGCTAATTGTGAACACAGTTGTTTGGCCAGTGCAGCCATTTGCAGAGAAGTAATTGCCTGTGCAGGAAAAGGAGGCCAGGTAAAAACCACTTTAAATAATTTGGTCCCAGTTCTGCACATGTGGGAAAATGAATAGAGGGAAAGCCTTGTCATCTGAGGATGTGCTGAAGTGTGTGAAGGGTGCTCCTCTGGATCAAAACATACAAAGTAACCTGGGCGAAGATGCTGTCCTGAGGACACAAAGAGGTTGGTGGAAGGAAGGCTCAGATGAAAAGGGTCACCAAAGATGGGAGAAAAGATGAAGAACAGAAATCAGTGTTACTCTAAAAGGAAAAGGGAGTCTGCAGATCAGCTCATCACAGTAGAAGCAGCATATCTGTGAGATAAACAGATACATGCTACGCTTCTTGGGGAGGAGAAACACATAATTCTGTGTTTCACATTAACTGGAAATGTTCAAAGCATGAAATTTGCCATGTAAACTTTTTAGGGCAACGCTAGTTGTGTTGGTTATTTAAAGGGTTAGTTTCAAAGAATTTTCTGGGTGCATAAAGTACTGTACTTACTTTCCAAATGCAAAATTCTGAGTCGTCTTTGTCTTGACACCCTTCATAGAATTTTTGAAAATACTGTCACAGTTTTAAAAATTCTAATTATGCAGTTGTTCTATCTTGCAGGCCTATTTGTTAGGTATTCTTTTCATGTGCGACCAGGAGAGCGATCTGATTTCTGAGGTCAACCTCAAGGAGATGAAGACCTCAGTGGGGAGATAACTGGGTCCACAGTTTGCTAATTACAACCTCCATGAACCACTGGTTCAGTCATTGACTTTTGTGTGAGGAACGGTGGAGGAACTGGGAGGATTTGGTCTAGCCAAAGGGGACTTGGAAAAGGGAGCATGGGAAGTGTCTGCAGATATCTGAAGTGGAGCTGTACAGGAGAGGGATTGGAAACTTACTCTGTCTGCTTGGCTAGGTAAAACTAGAACCAGGAGTGGAAGTGACAAGTTGGGGGAGACCCTCTCAATATAAAGAAAGAACTGTTGGGGCCGGCCCAGTGGCGCAAGCAGTTAAGTGCGCACGCTCCGCTGCGGCGGCCCAGGGTTTGCTGGTTCGGATCCCGGGCGCACCGACGCACCGCTTGGCAAGCCATGCTGTGGCGGCGTTCCATATAAAGTGGAGGAAGATGGGCACGGATGTTAGCCCAGGGCCAGTCTTCCTCAGCAAAAAAAAAGAGGAGGATTGGCAGATGTTAGCACAGGGCTGATCTTCCTCACCAAAAAAAAAAAAAAAAAGAACTGTTAACAATTGGAAACATCTAAAGATCTAAAGATGGAATAAGTGTTTTCTGGAGTAGTTATTTCTATGTCCTTAAGAGGGTGGAAAATTTCTTATGAGTTATTATATCAGGCATGTATGTATAGGAAAAGGTGTTTAACTAAGTTACTTTTGAGCTGTACTTCAATTCTAAAATTCTTGGATTAAAAAGTAGATGAACATAAGTGATGTGACTACCTTGATAAATGAGAAAATGACCTCCTAGGAATTCAGTGACAGAGATAAAGGGGTTACAGGTTGGTTATAAAAACATACAGAATGGGGCTGGCCCTGTGGCTTAGCAGTTAGGTGCGCACGCTCTGCTACTGGCAGCCCGGGTTCGGATCCCGGGCGCACACCGACGCACTGCTTCTCTGGCCATGCTGAGGCCACATCCCACATACAGCAACTAGAAGGATGTGCAGCTATGACATACAACTATCTACTGGGGCTTTGAGGGAAAAATAAATAAATAAAAATTCAAAAAAAAAACAAAAAACAAAAAACATACAGAGTGATGCCCATGCACAAGGAAGCCAGAGGGAATAAACTGTGGTCTTTTGTAATAGGTCAGAGTTAAAAGGAGTAATCCCACAGGAATGAGAAGAAACTATTTATTTATTGAGGTAAAATTGGTATATAATATTATATAAGTTTCAGGTGTACAACATTATAATTTGATATTTATATACACTACAACGTGATCACCGTCTAGTTACCATCTGTCACCATACATTTGGCCCCCTTTACCTGTTTCACCTACCCTGCAGCTCCCTTCCCCTCTGGTAACCACCAATCTGTTTTCTGTATCTGTGAGTTTTTGTTTGTTTTGTATTGTTTGTTCGTTTGTTTTGTTTTTCAGATTTCACATATAAGTGAAATCATATGGTATTTGTCTTCCTCGGTCTGACTTATTTCACTTAGCACAATACCCTCAAGGTCCATCCATGTTGTTGCAAATGGCAAGATTTTCCTCTTTTTTAGAGCTGAATAATATTCCATTGTGTATATATACCACATCTTATTTATCCATTCATCAATTGATGGACACTTAGGTTGCTTCCATATCTTGACTACTGTAAATAATGATGCTCTGAACATAGGGGTGCATAAGGCTTTTTGAATTAGTGTTTTTGTATTCTTCAGATAAATACCCAGAAGTGGAATAGCTGAATCGTATGGTAGTCCTATTTTTAATTTCTTGAGGAATCTCCATACTGTTTTTCATGGTGGCTTCCAATTTACATTCCCACCAACAGTGTATGAGGGTTCTTTTTTCTCTACATCCTCTCCAACATTTATTATTTCTTGTCTTTTTGATGATAGCCATTTTAACAGGTGTGAGGTGATATCTCCTTGTGGTTTTGATTTACATTTCCCTGATAATTAGTGATGTCGAACATCTTTTCATGTGTCTATTGGCTGTCTGTATGTCTTCTTTGGAAAAATATCTATTCGGATCCTCTGCCCATTTTTTTGTTTTTGTGAGGAAGATTAGCCCTGAGCTAACATCTGATGCCAATCCTCCTCTTTTTGCTGTGGAAGATTGGCCTTGGGCTAACATCTGTGCCCATCTTCCTCTACTTTATATGGGACACCGCCACAGCATGGCTTGACAAGTGGTGCGCCAGTCTGTGCCCGGGATCCGAACCTGCAAACCCTGGGCCACCAAAGCGGAATGCATGAACTTAACCGCTATGCCACAGGGTCAGTCCGCCTCTGCCCATTTTTTTTTGGGTTGTTTTTTTGTTGTTGAGTTGTATGAGTTCTTTATATATTTTGAGTATTAACCCCTTATCAAATGTATGATTTGCAAATATCTTCTCCCAAGAATGAGAAAAACTATTGATGGTGGCTTGAAGGAGTTGAAACTTTAGCTTTGCTTGGAGATGATTACAAAATGAAGAACAGAAAACTGGTTGGAATTTCAGATGAGCAATTAGTAAGGAAAGATGAGTTAAAGGGATAAATTAGAGGCAAAATTAAGACGAATTTAGTTTTCTCTTTATACTCACAAAGGTGAAGATGGAAAAGCAGATAGAGCAAGACTATGGTGTCTTATACGTCAGACTAAGAAGTTT